TAGGTCTGCAAAGGATCAATCAACTATAGGTAAATTGAAGCATATTATGCTGATGGAAGTTTACTTAGGATTGAAGTTTAGGACTGGGACTTGTCACAGTTCATCAACATATCTACTCTCCTTTTAATTACAAATATACATAATTTATTATTAACCTATAGTTCATTATTTAAGTGAGTGTTTGCCATTCAGTTACTTACGAAATTTAATGCACACTGAGCCGAGAACCAGAAATAGTTAAGAAGCAATTATGAGGCAGTTAGAGATTGAAGTATAGTTTCACCACAGAACTATTAAAACAAGGTTATAAATTCACCCTTGTTTCTCTCCAATCTTGTGATTTTAGTTTACCTTGGTTCAGTTATCATGATGGCAGTCTTTCTACTGAATCACAGTAAGTGGAAAATACCCTTCTAGTATCCTAATTTAGAAAATAACACAGCATACAGATGAGGAAGATGGAGTAAATATTTATATATGTCCCATATCTTGTAATGTAATGACTATTTTTTTTAAAAAAATCAGTAATTAGTATTTTGCATATATTAATAACATATTGAAAAATGAATTATTGTTAAAACTGTAATATGAAATGTGCTGAAAATTGCAAGCTATGCGGTTAAACGAGTTAAGCGTTTATACAGTAAATATATGTATATAATTGTTTTAAATTTTTTCTTAAGAGATTTGCAATGTATTCCCCCAACAATATGCCCAAGAACACAATGCATACTGATCTTTTTCCTTCCATAAGTCTATTAATACTGTGCAGAAACTCTGTTAGTGAATCAAATCCTTTATAAATCAAGAGGAGGTATACAAAATATTTTTTCTTAGGTTTGCTTGTTTTTTTTAAAAGAACAAACCAAAATATAAAGCAACATTACAACTTTTGTAAACATATCAAAATATTGCAGAGATAATACTTTCTCCAACAATAGTTACTTGCTTCCTTCTTTATGTTCAAAATCATACTATTTAGTTTACTATAAAAGTATAATTGGAACTCAATTTCTGAAAAGAAACTTGCATTCACAAAAATGATTTTTTAAAAATGCTCTGAGAGCACACCAGTATCAAGTTGTAGACTTTGAGCTAAACTTTCACTCCTGTCCTTGTCTCTAGGGTTTGAGTTCAGTTTCTAATACATCTACTAAACTAGCTGAGATCTAATGGTAGGTTCAAGTGGAGCAAAATTCCTACTACATATTTTACATTATTTTCCCTGCAGAGAAAACCACTACAGCAATGTTGTCTCAATATATAGCAAACCTCAAGAGTTTTCGGGTGCATCAAGTATTTTTCAGTTTTCTTTGAGAAATGGATATGGTCTGGAGTGTCACACAGAAGATGTTAGACATTGTATTTGAGAAATTGAGGTGTTCAAATTCTGAATCTGTTCTAGAATCAAAATACTATATCAGACATCACTTTAAAAAACCCTCTTGCATATTAATCATGCAACATTAGATTTTCAAACGTCTTACGGGACAGCTGGGATTCTGCACATGAACGGATACTTAACAAAGCAGCGACTAAACCAAGGCTATATTTCACCATGTGAAAAATGGACAAACTCACTCTTCAAAATTTTATCAATTTTCTATTATAGGGAATTTTCAAGGTTCTGTCTTTTGGACAGATTATATTAGGTCTTTTCATCCTTTGAATATTACATCTGTTATAAAATAAGTATTTAGCTCTTCTTCTTCTTCCAGATTTATTTGATTTTTAAATACTTATCATGAAAAAAAGATCTACCATCTCTTTTTAATAATTGCCAGCAAAGGTATTCTGAACTTTTATGCAGTTAAGTTAAAACCAGGTGGGCTTTCAATTTTAAAAATAGGTGCAAAGGCGAAGTAAGTTCAGACCTTGTGACATACAAAAATCATACAAATCCACAAAAAAGGATTTGGCATGGTGTTACCTCTTTCCATTTTGCTGTTACTCTTTAAGGAGCACTAGCATCAGACAAACTATTTTGGCATTATTATAGTACCAGTTTCAAGTTCACTTAATTTATTCATAGGGTGACACCTACAGATCCAATCAGGCTTTCTTTTAATGGCTGATCTCTTAGCTCACTTTCTCATATGCCTCCATTCCACAATTCAGGTTGCAATCATAATAGGCCATGTTAAGCTATCATCAAATTCACCTATGTAGACTACCCTATTACCAAGGTGAAGTTTTGTTCAATGTGTAAGGTCCCATAAATTCTGTCCTACATTTTAGCAGACATTTTCAAGAATGTAAAGAAAGAAGCAGCTTAAAAACTGCCTCAGAGAGTAATATAATGAGAAATATGATTGCCCCTTAAGTTCTTATTACATGAATATTAGAGACAGAGAAGGGCTACCCAGAACAAATTGTACCGCTCAATGCGAAAAGTGGGTTCTACAGGCAAAATGACAAAAATCACATTCCGGTCAAATATATCCTTCTGCATTTTCACTCAGGAATGAATTATTATTTGCAATTCTATGTTGAACAACAATGTAGGGTGATGTTGAAAAGAATAACTGTTTTAATCAGTTGTAGCAATGATGTCAGAGGACACAATGGATATGTTAAAGTTTGCTGAGATAGTAAAGCCAACTCAATGCTACATCATGCAAGCAGGGAATGTCACCTTAACAACTAGCTAAAACATGTTTAAGACAAGAATCTACTTGGTTTATTATATACAGTCCTTCCACCAGTTGTAAAGAAATGGCACCAATGATAGCTGTTGTTTTCATCATGTAAACATTAGCAAAGACAAAAAAAATTATCCTTCATCTCACTACCCTCAAGTGGTTAATAAAGATTGTACAATTGTGGGACTAGATAGTACTCAGTGGAAACACCTCAAATTGTCAGACAATGCACCATCACTACACTTATTTATTGTCCACAAGTGCTGCTGCATTACTTAAGAATCTTTTTTAGGGCAAGACCATCTCTGAATCACGATTCCCAAAGTGAGCAAGGATGGGATTAAAAGTACATCTACATTTAAATTAGTTAAAAACAGAAAATATTATCCGCATATGTAATATTCTTCCCCTTCTGTATTATTAAACAACAGAATTCAGTGACCACATTTGGAAGGGCTTGGGTTCCATACTTAAGTCTTTGGGAAGTTGAATGGAACCTCAACGCTGCAAGCTGGTTCACCTATTTTTATTGCCTCTGATTAGGAAACCAATTTTTTGTTAAGTACTACTATCTGTTAGTAAGGATGGTGAAACTATATAAACCCATTCCCACCCCCAAAACCTATTCATTGGGCTGTGTATATGATTCAGATGACCACATGATTCTGAAAATGTCTTTCTCACATTCTACAGATCTGAATACATTCTTACAAACATAATCATTTTTTTTTAAATTAAGACACACACTGGCAGCCTAGGAATATAGCTTGGCTAACTTTACTGCATTGTTAATTCCTACTCATACATACCTTGGATATATGAAGACTAGTTAACAGATTTAGGTTACCATGAGAGAGGGAGAGAGAGAGAGAGAGAGGGAGAGAGAGAGAGAGAGAGGGAGGGAGAACGAGAGAAAGAAGAGACAGAGAGAGACTGCAGTAAATATGCTTAATGTGCAGCATTTAGAAGTTTTGTGCATGGAAGAGGATCTTCTGTCATGGTCCTTGTGACCAAAATCACTGTGACTACATAAATTCATGCTGGAATATATAATACATTTTCAAATATAACTGTATCTCATGGGGTTTGGAAAGAGACATCAGGCATAACAGAAGTGAAGGCTATGCGCAGGTGATCTCAGCCTGTAAATTCTCTATGGCATGACATTATTGCTTTGCATATAATGGAAAGCAGCAGCACAGTTCAAATTTCTCAGACTGCCTTCAATTTAAAACATTTTTACAAACTATATGGTCTTATTTCTGAGATGACTATGAAGACAGCAGGTAGCCATTTGTCACAAATGCCATGACTTATAATCATTTTTTAAAAAGGTTATTTGGGATAATATTGGAAGTATGCTACAGTGTAAGGGAACAAATATCACTTTGTTAGAAGAAGATGGAAATTGCAAAGTTTGGGGGCTCTGGAACTAAGAGATCTCCTTTAGCTGAACATTAAAAGAACATAAACCAATCTTTCTTAGAACTTGCGGTGTAGCCTAAGGTGTCTAATACATTAAAAAAAAAAAACAACTGTTAAATGTGTAGGAGAGATGTCACCAATTTGCCAGCCTCGTATATGCTTCACAGTAGACAAATCAGTAGAAGAATAAGTGCACTTGGCCTTCAAATCTAATTTTCTCCCATTCCTGGCCATCAGAGCTGCCATTTCCAAGCCACCACAACAATTAAAGACTTCACAGGGATGACAAAACATAAAATGGCAACAATCATCCTAAACTTTATACAAATTTCCCAGTGATCTGGAAAGGGGGGCGGGGGGGGCAAAGAATTTTTTTTTTCCCATTTACAAATGTAAAGAGAGTAT